GGGCTTTCACTCACGGATCCGCATGATTGACGTGTCCTGAGGTGCGCTGTGCTGCTGTGCTGCTGTATGCTCGTTTTCTCGCGGAGAACCGCTGGATTTACTCCGGATTTTTTGGACTGCGGCTGCCAAAAGTATAGCGCGGCCCCAAACGAGCTGACTGCATTCCCATATACTCGAATGACAGCCGCATAAAATTGGGAAAAAAACCCAAGGAGCCAAGCAAACTCTTGGGTCTGTCATCCATCACGCAAAAGCGCGTGATTTGTCGCTGCGCCCTGCAGTGGAGTTAGATCCACGCGGCCGCGTTATGATTTATAATAAGGGGGGATAATAACGTGCGCACCTATAGGCCGAGAGAGAGGCTGTCATGGGATAATGAGATCGCATTGATTATGGTCCAGGGAGGTAATAGGTATCATCGCTTAACGCTTCGCCTCGCAGCGACACCTCGCATCCCACCCCCCCAACCCCCCCAAAGCGACGCCCATGCAGCCGCCGGCCGCTGGCCGCTGGCTGGACCGTCGGTCGCGTTTTTACCTCCGCGTCCGTTGAGGGCCAGTTTTTTTCGGCGGCCCCTTAAGCGCGATCATCGCAGGCCACATTCCCATGGGCATCCGTGAGAACCGCGGTCAGCGCAGCCGTTATAGAACCGCAGCCCGGCTCACTGACACACAGAGCCGAGACATTTTACGGGTATACTCACCGGAGATGCCTAGACAACAAATAAATAAATACAAAACAATCTAAATCGTTGGTGAGGGGGGGAATAAAAAGCGTATTCTTACCGTGTCGGAGCGATAGGAGCGTTGCGTTCACATCCAGCGCAGAGCGAAGTCAGAAATAACCTCTCATCCAGTCCCCGCAACACAAAATATATCTTCCCTGTCGATATGTTTCACTTGCTGGATAGGAGCATCGACTCTGGCTCTTTAGTTTGTTTTATTTTTTGTTGTTGTTGTTGTTGTTTTTTCTCTGCCGCTGCCAAACGACCAGGACTATCCTTCCAGAGAGAAGGAATATGAATAAAGCTGAGGGAGCAATAAGCCAATAGCTGCGTGCTCGGTATCCCGATCAGCGCTCACGCGGGAAAGAGGGGGGTGGAGGGAAAGCTTTCCGCGTCCGTCCAAACGCGCACCGCGAGCCCAGCGGAGCGCAGAAGGAGGAGGACAGAGGCGTTATCTATAGCTCTGCCTCCCGATCCGTCCGTCTGTATCTCCGTCCTCCCCTCTCCTCCTCTTTCCTTGCCCGCCTCTCTGGGTGCAAATTCTCTGTGTGCCTTTCGCCGACTCGTGCCGGGGGTCTGCGGGCGCGCAGAGCGGAGCGCAGAGAGAGAAGGGGTCAGAAATGACAAACCAATTTGGAGGCGCGGCGAATGCCCGCTGGATCGGAGCGCAGCCCCGGCCGTCGAAAGCGGGCGGGGAAGGGGAGGCAGAGGGCGGGCGGAGGGGGCTGGAGAGAGGGTGATGATTCCTGCCTTGGGGATGCAGGGGAAGAGAAAAGAGGGAGAAAAACTGGCAGAGTGGGGCGTTTGGTGGAAAACACGGAACTGGACCTCGCCTCCGAATGTTTGGACCTAGGGCTCCACCTGCCGTGTGGGGGAAAAAAGAGACTCAGGGGCTCTCAAACTCCTTGACGAGTTTTACGTTTAGGAACCGCAGCCTTGGGTATCGGCAGATATGACAATGTTTATTTTTTTATAGCAATTTTGGACTGTTTGGGAAAACCAAGATATGGGTAGCAGACATGCTCTTCCTCGGAGAATTTAAAGACTATCCAGGAGGCTCAGTAAATTGTTGGATCCATGTTACTAGACCTCAAGCAAATGTGTCCAGAAGACTTTTGATTTCAAAATATCGTAGGCCTAACCCTAAACTTTGGCGTCTGATAACCAATGAGGGATGTGCTATCTAAACCAACTGACATAAGTCCATTTTAAAGTGTGTTGAGTCATACCTAGCCCAAATAAAAAATAATTTAAAAAACCGGTATCTTTACCAACCAGGATATTTCTGCAAAGATCTCAATGAAGGGTTGGTTTGGTGCTTTTTAATTAAACTCAGAAGTAAAAATAAGTGAACGACAAATAGCTTGTGTCACACAAAGGTGCGTTGTTCAAATCGCTTTGTCTTTTAAGACTCTGTGCCTTTTTAAATTCCTTCTTAATCTTAATTTCTTGATCAATTTACTAATATGAGTTGACATTTTAGCCATGTTTACGCAGCGTGTGAGCCGAAACAACACATGGCCTAACTCGATTTGGGCCAACTTCTTGACCTCTGGGCCATGTCTCGTCCATTTAGCACTTTAGCTGAGCTATACGTTTTGAGTTAAAAAATCAGCCAATTATTTGGAGCCTCCCTTAGAAATACATCTAATGAAAAGTCATCTAATGACCTGAATAGTATTGGCCAACAGAGAGACACAATGGAATGAGTGTAACAGGTCAGACTGAATCACATTGCCTTGTGGCACTCTGACCCAACTGGGAAACTACAAATGCATGAGAGCAATGAGGCAGGGATGTTAGACGAATAAAGGACAATGAATAATCTGCCTAAAAATGGAAAATTATTAATATATTCTATTTCTGGTTGATTGAGTATGTAGGCTACTTCTTATAATGGAGCAGGCATACCCAAAATAAACAAACAACCCATGTCAATCATAAGCCCATAATTAGTAAGATAAACAGATATGTTAATGAATGAATAGTTAAAACGTCAATATTTACAAATGTACCACCACATCCGGAGACTTAAGACGCCCCCCCCACCTCTCTCTTTTTTAAAGACATCATTATATGAATTCTAATAACGTTTATTGCTGGAGACAGCAGCGCTTTACGGGCTTCGAGGCGTGTTCACTCCTTTACCTGCACGTCCTGATTACTATTTTCAGCGCATTATTTACAGGGACGTGCTTATTTCCAGGGATGTCTGAAGGACGGCTCTTTCTCATCAGCCCCAAAGGGATGAGCTCTTTGTTCTCTGAGGGCTCAGAGGGGGGGGCATGCGCAGTGCACTAAGCGCGCCGGGGCTGAATAAAGTGCCCATGTCCCTTCTCCATGTCTTTGCTCGCCTCTCCGTCAGCTGTTATGACTTGTTCCGTCAGCAGATTGTCATCCTTTCACCTTTCCGGTAAAGCTAACTTTTGTTCTGCCGGGCTGCGGGAGGCTGTCCTGTGTTGAGAGCCCCGGGGACCTGTTGATCGTCTGCTGGCGCTGCAACGGAGGTGAGACGACGCTCTCAGCGCCCATGGCCGTCCGTCCCGTCGTCATAGTGATGCAGTTGATGTGGATCGGGTCATGTTTTTAGTGGAAGCCGTGAGAAAAATATCAGAGCGCATCTTAGATATCATACCAAACTGCAATGACAGCTTTATATTATCTGTCTGTAAGCTATACAGAAATAACCCGTCCTATCTATTTATTTTTAACATATATATTAAGATGCCGTCAGCGTTGCTTTGAAATAAACTTATGGATTTCATTAGGCTGCCATGAAGGGCATATATCCCTGGTGACCATCGATGGATCCTAATTAGTTTTCAAATGAGACGTTGTCATTTCCAGGCCATCGTTTTACAAATCAAATCATGTCACTTGGATCATGCTTTGAAGCTATGCAGGCTCTCCCCCCCCGCCCCCCCCTGCAGGTCAAAATGGTCGGAGAGGCCGTGTGTCGCACTTAATTACAATCACTGGCTGATAAAGCCTTTTGGAGAAGACGTAAATCCCGCTAAAGAGCATTAGGTGACAAGCAAGGCGCTTGCAAACAAGCATGGCAGAAGCCTCTGAGGAGTAGATGGAGGGGTAAAATGATACATGCATGCTGCTTAACAGATGTAAGATAATTAGCCTTATTGTTCTTTAATTATTCCTTATTTCTGTGGAAAGGATAGGGTGCAAACAAAGTATTGCCAGGGAGATTTTCTTTTTCTTAAAGTTTCTTCAAGCACATCTTTATAAAAGCTTGAATCGCACTTTTACAAAGCCTCCCATTTCAGTTCCTGCTCTTTTTTTGTTTTTACGCACGCCACAGGAGCCAAACAGAGAAGCATGACATCACAAAGAACTGAGACCTCTCAAAGAACATAAGCGGCTGGAACATTTTGACAAGCGGCGATGGAGATCATGGGTAAGTGTTTTTCTGTCAGCGTCTGGAGCGTGGGGGCCGCTTTAAATCCCCAAAATGTTGCAGTAACCTCGGCGAGGCCCGCCACCTCCACCATCATCCGAGGCCTGCAATTACACTGTCAGACGGGGAGAGAGAGAGGGTATTTCCGTGTGCAGGTGGCGCTGGACCGGCTCTCTTGTCAAAAACGTTGCGGTGAGGAGTTTACAGGGCTTTAGCCTGCTGCCACATGCAATTACTGCAGTTGTGGCCCCCGCTCATTAGTTGCCATTCTGCTAAATGACCGGGGATAACGCGAGCAGATGCAGCATGGAGCTCGTCCTCTGCCGTGTGACAGACAACTTAATGCTCCTGCGTTTGTTTTTTGTTTTTTTCTTTGCTCTGCCAATGCGTTAACCTCAGGGGCTGGCAAATAGAAAAACGGAGCGTGGCTCCATCGACGTCAAGAACAAACTAAATCTTAAAAAAATCCAAAGAAGGTCCTTTTCAGAGACACACCTGGTTTTGAGAGTCAAGGCTTTGGGCCTTGCGTCAGGGTCAGCCGGCGGCTGCGGGCCGACAAGAGAAAATGAATGCCAAACGGCGGGAAGGGCTGCTTCTGAGTCACCCAGATAATGTTTTCTCTGCAGATACCCAGTGTGCCTTGGATGCTGTGGAGAGACTGCAAGCCAAACTGAAGGAGAGGGGGGAGGCCCCCACTCAGGAGAAACTGACCCTGCTGAAGACTGTCCTGCAGAGCCCCCTGTTCCTCCACATCCTCAGCTTGCAGCAGGCTCAGCGGAAGCGCCCGCCAAAGGTATAGCACAAGTGTTATACGCGTAGGCGTTTGGTATATATTGACTGGTGAGGGAAGGAGCTGGAATCGTTCCCAAAATACTGAATGTAGAAACCAAACTGGATGAGTAATCAGCTTACCTAAGCTTACCACTAAAGCTTTATGATAGATAGAGTGGGAGGGGGAAGGAGGTGCTTTTTATCTCGATAAGAATTCTGCAGAAGTCCTTCGCACTATTGTAAGTTATGAGCCCATATTCAGCATATGCAGGGCTTCTTACAAAGGCTGATATATATATATATATATATATATATATAAATATATGTGTTTATATACAGGTCAGCCATAGAATTGAAACCAAATGGGCACCATTGTGCCGACAAAGCAGTTCAAACCTATTGGAGCACGAACCCCGAGTCCTCTGAGGGTGCCCTGCAGATCCCCCCGGGCCTTTAGGTTGCACGGCGGGTATAGCATGGATCACCCGTGGATATTCGATCAGATCTTGATCTGGAAGAGTTTGGAGGCCAGGGGAGAACTTTGCCTTATCGACATGTTCAGTGAGGATGTCAAAGTATTCCGAACGATCTCGGAGCAGAACAGGAAATACATCGGCTTCACAGCGGAGGCTCGAACGTTATACAGTTAGTACAGTTAGTTTCCTCATGCCTCACATATCCATGTGTTGTAACAGGGCGATTAGAGTCGCCTTAAGCACAGATGCTTAGAAGGAGGGCATAGCAGGAGGTGCAAATTCTCAGATGTTTGTAACACCCAGATTGCCGCTTCCCAACTTGTTGACTGTGCTGCTCGCTCCTGCAGATGATTGGGCCTAATTAAATTCAATTCAGTGTGTTTAGATAGTGAAAAATCCCCAACAAAAGGCGTTTCTTTAAAGAGAATGTAAAAAAGCTAAATACAACTTAGACTTTATACACTATAATTTTATACATTTATTCACTAAGAAATTAACAACCATATAAATTACATCAAATGAAATCTTCATTTACTTCCACATTTTGGATTCAGGATGAAAACACCATTTGAACATAAAGAAATAGACAACAGAACCAAAAGGGATGCTGCATGCCGTAAAAAATAGAAAGATAGTTTATAAAAACGGTTTTATACTGAGTGAAATGTAAATGAAAACAAACTTAAATTATTTCAAAAAGTTCATGAACCTGCATATCACGACAATATGTGGAAAGCAAGGTTTCTTACTATTTCAAGAAAAATATGACCTTATGATGAATTTAATGGCAGCAGCATTTCTCGAAAAGTTAGGACAGTAACCTTTGCTGTCCTTTCACTTAAGACATCATTTGATATATTGTATATATTCTGCTATGAAGTAAATATTGGTTTATGAAGTCATCGTGTTCTGTTTTTAGTTGTGTAACCATGTATAAAAGATGAAGATCCAGGTCTCTATGAAATTCTGTACGAGGTAATGGAGTTGATATGTAGTTAGCTACACTGAAAATAAGAAAATATGTACAGATCTTGTATTTTTTAGAAGCTTTTAGGGCTTTCATGTTAAAATGTTGAAAAAAAAAGACGCGAGAGTAAGTGCTGGAGTTAGAGCAGGCCCTCATTATAGATACAAAATCTGTTTTCTCACCTTCACAAGAATGGACGCTGTGACCACCGCTCTCTCTGAGCCTTTAAGGAGATATTTACAGAAAGCTGAAATAAGTCGGAAAATGCATCTTTGAATCAGTTGAACAATTGATTCAACTGATTCAAAGGCTCTCTCTGAGCCTTTAAGGAGATATTTACAGAAAGCTGAAATAAGTCGGAAAATGCATCTTTGAATCAGTTGAACAATTGGAGCAATCTCAAGTCTCTCCCTAGAAGAGGATACCCTGCAAAGATCGCCCCGAATGCTCCGTAATCCTGGAGCTGGTGCAATAGAAACCAGAGATAACAGCAAACACTTTGTCCTTTTGAAATCTCTCCCACATAAATCTATGAGTTGATACATTTTAAAGGTTGCGGGCTGCTCCGCGAGCGTTTACGCCGGCATGAAAGGCGCGACGGTCAATCACTAGCCGATCAGTGCAGGGGTGCTGATGTCTCCCAAAGCTTTGCACTTTCTTTTAGCTGTGGGAGAAATGTAGGGCACCGTTCAGACACTTAACTTGCTCGTTAGTGCCGAGCCTCGGAGCCTGGTAACTGCCCGATGTTGTGCGCTCTAATAAGATAACCCACAGCCTCCACACACAGGCGTTATTGAATTAGCAATGTTGCACGGGCCTGCAGCCATTTAGCATCTTTGCAGCCCAGGAAACGTGGCACTGGACTCTCCCCGAGGTCCGGATTTTTCAAAGGACTGCCGCTGAGGGCAGTTTGCATTTGTTCATCTGAAACTGCCACCAAGTAAAAACCTCAACAGACAAAATGGAACAGTTTTGTGGAACTGAGATGAAATCTTTATCTCCGATTTTCCTTCTTATCTTCTTCCACTCTGCTCCATCATTCTTTTTATTTTGTTAACGCACATCATCCCTCTGTCCCCGTTCTCTCTCAGACGTCTAACAATTTATCTTTACATTTCCCTCCCTGACTCCATATTTCCTTTTTAAATGTAGACTGACACTTTTTTATTAATATCCCTCCCCATTTCCCTCTTAGTCATTCCCTCTGCTTTCCCTTGCATCCCTCAGTACATCCTCCGTGTCTGTCTTCTTTCCTTCTGACCCAATTCATCCTTTTCGTTCCCGTGTTCCTGCTATTTAATTTGTCTGATTGGCTCTTTCCACACTGACCCCTCAATCTAACCAGGAGAAGGGCATCTCCAAGTCTGTGTCCATGAACTATGGCCCGTGCCAGGGTTTGATCCTCGGCTCGAAGATGCTAAGCCACAGCGACTCGTACACGTGGGCCGTGGAAAACCGAAGGCCCAGCTCCTCCAGATCCTTCCAGAGGGAGGGCAGCTTTTCCTCTCTGGGTTCACAAGACCTGTCCCTCATAGACCTCTACTCAGACAATGCCATTCAGACTGAATTTCAGGTATGTGTTAGTAAAGTATGGACGATTCCAGACGCATTTACTGTCATCAAATAGATGATTTGGTTGATTTCAGGTGTTTTTTGTTTTTATTTTATAGTACTGCACCCCACCGAGGATCTCCCGCACCATGTCAATGGGGAGAAACCTTTCTGCCATTGCACACGAGGTACAGCAAGCTTCTCTTGTTTGGTTATTCTTGAGAGCTGGTACAGTCAAGCTGTTTTCTTTTAAAGCAGGGCCGTTCGATTGTTTTTCTCCCCCTGTTCTCTTTCCCTCCGTCTGCAATGTTAGAGGCGTCACGTGGAGATAATAGAGCTGACAAATGATGGAAAAGGACTTGGTTTTGGCATCATAGGCGGACGGAGCACAGGTGTCATGGTTAAGACCATTCTCCCCGGAGGAGCGGCGGGAAGGGTAAATCCACCTGTGAATTCATCCCGAGCGCAGTTCGCCGATCGCTTTTCACTTCTAAAGCTCAGCTCCGGAGAAAGTAGTCTAATCTGCAAAAAAAGCCCAAGGCTCTCTCTTTGATATTGGAGGAAAGCTTGAAACACGCTGAAATACGGTGCACACATTAAATGTTTGGAGTCTTTCTGTTTGCTGGTGTGATGTTTCTCAGGATAATCGCCTACGTAGTGGAGATCAGATACTACGCATTGGAGATACAGAACTGGCCGGAATGAACAGCGAGCAAGTGGCACAGGTGACGTATTTGTACTAAAATCATGTTTTTTTTCTCCGGTTGTCTTCATAGGAATAGATTAATCAACTTGTATCACATGATAGTTGTTCCCTATCACTAAAGTGCTGTAGCAGATTCTTGATTCTAGTTTGTCCAGCATTTACCTGCAATCATATAATGTATTATCATGACCATTCAACAATAAAACACTCAGATCAAAAGGAAAAAAAATAACAATAACCAGTGTGGGGAGTTTCAAATTATAGTCAAATTATACTGAAAAAGGATAACTGTTACAGGACTCAGACCTCACACAATTGCCCATTTTCTTATCGAACCCATCAATCTTTGCACACAGTGGAAAACTGATGACTGATAACTGATGCCATTGTTCAGCCAAAATAGGAGATGCCTGTAAAGACAGAGACGCCGTGCGCATTTGATTGAGGTCTGATGGAACAATCAGGATGAAAGTGAGAGATGCCCACTGTAAACACAACTGTTGGCTTATTCTGACATCAGTTATCAGAGCAGAACGATGTACCTGACTTATCAGAGAGGTGCCAGGCGGCGGCTGCAGTGTCTGCGCTGAGTGTGTGTGTGTGTGTGTGTGTGTGTGTGTGCACACACAACTCAAAATAAATAACTGCTCACAAAACAAAATTATGAGCAAATGGAGAGAAGTGAAGCTGACTAAAGATTTAAAACACAGTTGTGTTCATATTCTTTGATTTCTTTGTGCAATATTGATTAATGAATCACAAGCTAGGATACACAATGATATGATAATCATCGTCATAGTAATAATGATATTAATGATAAAAGACAAAAATGAAAAATTTGATTAAGAGAGATAGGAAAAAAGGTCTGGAAGAACAGATCGCGTGAAATTGGACAGTTGAAAAAGAAGATGGAATCAGTTACAGTCAACGTGAAAAGAGTAATTAAACTACAATGCACCATGGGATAGCAAGAGTCCCAATGTATTCTTAGAGTTATAATTCCAGAAACTAAATATAAAATTCACAAAATCTGTGGAAGAACAAAAGACATACACAGAAACAAACACCTTCAGGGCAAAGCATACAATAAGTACATATTATACTATATACACATATAAAACTAAGTATTAAAGGGATATTCAGTTGCCAACCCCCTCTGGTCATCTTTACACATGGATACACGTCCCAGTCTTCCTCGCTTCTTGATGAAAAAGTTGGCAAACCTGCTCACCAAATTCTCATAAGTCATCCAAGTGAATGATGTTATCGGTGTGATTTCATAGGTCATGATACCTCAAAACAGAAATGTTAAAAACTTTGGGGGAAGAATTCACACAGGCCTGTTGGCAAGCTGATCTAATACCAGTTTTAGTGTTAGATGCTTGTCTAAAGATTTGTAGATGGTCAGTTATGCTGGGCAGGTAAAAATGAAGAAAAAAGCCCATTTAAAGCAATTGCCATGCCATGCATTTGAAAAATAAAGGAACTGAGGTGGAGCAGATATAAAAAATGAGTGTTGTGTGTGTCACAGTGAATGTATTTTAAGGAAATTTGGTTACTAACAAATTTTCTTTTCCATGTTATGTGTTTCTGGACAATTTTTATTCTTCTGTTCCCAAATGACCACCTGGCCCAGGTGCTGCGAAATGCTGGAAACAAGGTGAAACTGCTCATCGCCAGGGATGTTACCAAGGACAACCATCTTTCTTCTCCTCTTCTCAGCCAGGACAGCTTGGACGACAAGGTACGAGCATGGGTGTGCTTTTTGTAATACACAGCCCAATTTACCATGAACTATTAAAGGTGGAAGAGGCTACTCTCTGGCCTGAGATGTTTCCTTGTGCCTTTTTCAGCTCGGCGAGTCCGGCGATGACTACGAGTTCAGCGTGGAGTTCACTAAGAACAGCCGAGGCCTGGGATTTACCATCTCCAGCTATGTCGGAGACCTAAACTCCAGTATGTAGGCGCACAACAGCTAAATTGGTTGTTTTATTGTTAATCGCAATGTTAATTATTCTCTCATGCAATTGGTTTGTTGGGCTCTGCTCAGTCTACAGTGCAGGTGTGATGGTAAAAGGCATTGTTAAAGGCAGTACTGTTGATCAAGATGGACGGATGCAGATTGGGGACGTCATCCTCTCTGTAAGCACCCTTTTCATTCTCTTTTTTAGTTGCTATCTCAGAGATATTTTCTTCTGGTCATGCTTGTCTAGCTTTTAACATTTTTTTATCCAACATCTAACTTTTACATTTGTTTTCTATCTTCTGTTTCGAGAGCCGATATGACTTTTAATATCGACACTTTGCGCGTTGTTTTTTTCCGCCATCATACACAGACTCACACTTGTCTCCTCGTCCCTCAGGTGGACGGGGTGAGCCTCCAGGGCTGTAGCGAGCAACGGGCAATGGAGGTGCTCAGGAGGACGGGTCCCGTGGTCCGACTGAGGCTGCTGAGAAGAGCGGTGTGTCTGAGTCACGTCCTGCCTCCAGCTGCTCCTCTGAAGCCTCTCCGGCACTCTCACAGCTTCCAGGCTGGCAAACCCTACAAAGCTGGCCTCAACAAGATTCAAGAGACAGGTGCTTCACACCAGAAAGATGTTGTCACATAGAAAATGTGTTGTGGTCTGTGGTCACCCAAACTTCTACATTCTCCCCAAAGCTGAGGTAAACCTTAACAAGTCAGAGCTGTTTGGGATAAGTCTAAAATTATCTTTTTTTTGGGCCAGTGTTGACCTGATCGGCCTTTTGCTCGTGGCCTCCCTCCAAAGTCTTGTTTTTTTAAATTCCCAATAAACACGTGTGTGCGTGTTCCTCCCTGCGGATGCACACGTGGCGCCCTCAAAACCTGTCCTTCCGTTTCTCAGGAATTTGCTCTCTGCGGGAGATCTCCCGGCGAGCCGCGTACGCCAGCAGACGACCCCGACACGATTCCAGAGACGGTAGGCTCCGCTTCCCATGCAGCGCAGCGGGGCGGATTTGGATCATGGGACTTTGTCTGATATGCTGATTGGGATCACAGAACAGCAATGTGCCAGTGAACCATACTCTTTGATGGGCCTCTATTTATAGTTTGTGCAGTCATGTGTTTATCTAACTCATTCAGCTCATTCCAGATGATTTGTCTCCAACCCTCTCTGCATATATGGCTTTATTTAGACATGAATTTTGGGGCCTGATTAGAGAGCGCAGCCTAAATAAGCCCTGATTGCTGTAAGGCTTTAATAGATGAATGAGAAAACATTACTTTGCCAGGAAATCACAAGATGGTGGATGTGAATATGCATGCTTATTTGCCTGCGGTGTCTCTGTGTGTGCATATGTGTGTGTGTGCGTGTGTGTGTTTCTGTCTGTGTAAGAGGTTGTGTGTTGACACTCTGGTTTCCCACAAGGAGAATTATGTTGTCGTGTCATAAAATAGTATAAAGGTGACGCTTTCTTTCAGTTCCTCGTTCTTCATAGATTGGACCGTTAGGGGCTTAAACATTGTGAGCATGTGTGTGTATATTTTTTTTCTATATTTGCATGTGTGTGATGTGAGCAGGACTTTTTTTCTTTATGTGCACACATTCTGTAGGCGTAAAACTGACTGCGGATGAAGAGGAGGACCTGAGGAAGAGGTGGCAGCAGGCAGTCGGGCCCCGATATGAAATCACTGTATGTCCCAAGTTGTAGAGATGAAGACTGAATATACCAAGCAAATAAAATAAAATCCAGACTTTATGTATAAAAATTATTTTTAGCATTGATATTAACACATAAAAAAAACTGTTGTGAAGAGGGACCAACGCCTTCCTTATTTGCCACTCTGACAAGATAAAAAGCTCTTGGTTTCCTGGTTTTCTATCGATTATTTGGCTTCCGTGTGCTCTAGGTGTGTCAGCTGGAGCGGTTCAGTGAGACGAGTGGTCTGGGAATCAGTCTGGAGGCTCGGGCAGGACATCACTATCTGTGTTCCATCTTACCCGAGGGCCCCGTGGGCCAGAGTGGCAAGATCTTCATTGGGGATCAGATACTGGAGGTAATTCTTCTTTAAGCCAGCTGCTCTGCTCCTCATCCCTCACGAGTTAAACTCAAAATATCGACTCGAGCGCTTGTTGGAGGGGACGCTTTTGAAGGTGGTTTGAGCTGATTCGGGGTATTGTTGTTTATGTGTGTGAAATGGGTTTGAGATCCGTATAAAATATGACCAGTCACGCGAAAAAGGTTTTGGCAAACAGGGACATGATTAAAAACCTTACATCCTTCCCAGGACTGAAATAAGTACAAATGGTATCCCATGACAATATTAAACCGCAACATCTTACACAGTAATATTTATGTCTCCTGCTTAATTACAGCGTAGAAAGTTATTAGGAGACAATTGCGAATACAAGAGAGGAGAATGTGATGCACCCATTGTGTTTGCGATGATGAGCCGCCTAATGATTTTTTGAGCTAATTATAATAGCTATCTATACCTTAAAGCTGGCTTAAGTCATTCACATCCCGGAAGGGAGAAACCAGCATCTGTGTCACAGCTCAACCATTCAGATGACTTATTTATGCCAAAGCCACTGTTAATCTTTATTCTTTTCAGTTTATTTACGGATTTTAACTGTAATTGTTCTTAGTGTGACTCACAGTTGCTGTTTAATGCTCCTTGATACCGAGCGCTGAAATGTCAAAGAAAATATCAGGCCTCTTTTACAGATTTAGAGCATCTGCTGTTCATTCACTGAAACACTTTGGTCCCAGAAAGCCTCATAACTACGTTTCATCACAGCACCAAATTTGAATGTGTCACAAAGACATTTCTAATGCTCGCTTTAAAATCACTACATGCTAAAATTTTGCTTGACGCCACATGAAACTTTGTTGGCATGTGAAGAGTGGCAGGCCTTCCTTTAGTCAAACATTTGGGAGGTTTTCAGAGGGGGTGGGCCGCGTCATTACATCTCAATTTTTCGGTCTCATGAGACAAAGTTTTCTAAATTTCCGTGACCCTTTGATTAAGTTCAACGAACAACTCTGGGGGCCGACACTTTAATTTAATTAGTGAAAATTAGGCAAGATACCTCCTCTGTGATATGATTACAGAAGGTGTTCAAAAGTGAATGGGAAAAGAAGTTATTTGAGTGCCAACCTAAAATTGCTGTAAGCATAAAGAATGTTTTTGGACACCTATGTGTGTCTTTTGGGGTGAAAAGATGTATGTGAACTATTTATCATTTGAAGAAGTCATTGGAAGAAAAAAATAGAGTTATTGTTTAGATTTTGATCATGAGGTTGGTTAACGAAGCAAATTAGTTGCTGTTATTCAGGGGAGGAGCAGCGTTTTGCAAATCATGGCATTGGTGGTACAACAGCTGGCTAAGCCGAAGCCGCCTGCTGAAGTGCCTTTGGGTACACACGTGGGTATGTCTGTGAATGTGCTTTGCAGTGTAAAAGTGCATGGGGTGGTAAATTGGACCGAAAAAATGCCCCTATAGGTAAAGTCTATTGAGAAAACTGACATCTGATCAGGCCTCTTGCCCAATGTCAGCTGGGATAAGCTTCCCTGCAACACTTTTAGGAATAGGCGGTAAGGACAGTGAATGAATGAGTGTATAACTGGTCAGTTTTCATCTATAGTCGTTACAGTATTCTCTAAAGTGTGAATGTACCTTTTTTCCAGTTTATTCAAATTTTTAATTTCCTTCTAGTTTGAGTTGTTATGTTCATAAGTATTTGTCTTGGCGTTGCTGATGTGACCTTATTGACTTTTACTTTTTTATTGTTTTTCCTGCAAAATATCTAAAATTGACATGCCATAAAGATACTGGCTTGATTTACCTTTGTAAAATGTGCGTTCTGGTTCAGGCGTGAATACAAATTTGTGGGTAAGAGGGTAAAATGTGGTAAATAAATACAAAAAGAGCCTTGCTTTTTTTTTTTTTTGCATTGGGGAGAAACATGGCTCCTGTGTGTCCTGTCATTGGACTCGGCTGCAGTGGGGGTCACCAAAAGTAGGCATGTAAGATGCTGTTTTTTGACCACATAACACATATCATATCTTCCTGACAGGTGAATGGGATCCCTCTCATTGGACTGACACACAAGGAGGTGGTCAGCGTTCTGAAGGAGCTCCCGGTGCATGTATACCTCACATGCTCGCGCGTTTTCCCCCCGTCAGTTCTTGACAGCGAAGAGGAAGATGATGAGGATGAGGATGTTCGTCTCAGCTTGAAAGAGCTGCTGGCCGAATTCAATGACAAGGTGAGGGGACAGGAGGGGTGACGGGTGGAAATGAGAAGAGTCGAAAACTGCTTCACATGCTGCGGTTTTATACATAATCCACATTTGATATGACTCTTGGGTGTCTTCCCTCATTTGTTCGCATGTCCCAGCTGGACCAGGGTTGTGTCATTCCCTGTCCCACAGCTGAGGACATTACCAAGCGTGGCGTGCCCCCCATGTCACCTCCGTTGGCCATGTGGGAGAAAGAAGCTCAAGTGGTGGAGCTGGAGAAGGGGGACTCAGGACTGGGCTTCAGTATTCTCGACTACCAGGTCAGACGCCACAAATAGGACAGACTGGAGGAATGGAGATAGGGGGAACCCTAGGGAAACAGAAAAGGGGGTTCATGGATTTTGCAAGAAGAATGAATGTATTTAGGTATATCTTTGGGCAATTATTTATATTTGTACTTTTATATTTCAGGTATATTTATATCATATTTTCATAGAAAATTGCTGGAAATTGAGAGCTTCAATTACTGCTTAAAATTCTTACCACCTTTTTTGTCCACTTCTGAACCAAAAACATTAAATCCTTTAGGTTAGATAATGGTCTTCCCTTTAGGGAAGAATTGGCCAATTTCCATAGTTTAATTAGTTCACTTTATTGCCTTGTCGAACCCGAAGTCATCTGTCAGTTATCTCATTTAGAATTATATAATGATCTTTTTTTTTTTTTGGTTAAAACAAACACTCTCTCGAACCTTAATCTCCAGGATCCAGAGGATGCCACTAAAACAGTTCTGATAATCCGGTCCTTGGTGCCCGGAGGAGTCGCTGATCAAGACGGCCGCCTGCTGCCTGGTGACCGGTTGATGTTTGTTAATGAAACCGATCTGGAGGGCTCCAGTCTGGACTATGCCGTGCATGTCCTAAAATCTACTGGCTACGGCTCTGTCCGCATTGGTGTGGCCAAACCTCTTCCAGTAAGTGAGGATTATTTTAATAATAAGTTATAAATTGGTTTTAGGCACAACAAAGCTCTAAACAAAACAATATATAATTATGACACAATTATTATAATTCAATCAGACATGTACCAGTACTATTGAATTATTTCTAATAATATATATATATATAATTTTCTGGAAGACTTATCAGTCTCTAATCATCTGAGAAGAATGTTGTGCTTTTTTTTTTTTAATTTGGCTTCAAATTAAACAGGTTTGCAGGCATTCGTCCCACCTGATCATTTTATCAGACTCACACTTTTGACCAGACCAGTTTTTATTTTTTAAGATATTGTGTCGCAGATTTGCCGCAGTGCTTGGGATCATTGTTCAGTTTTATGACTTCATTTCAGCCAAGCCTTAGCTGTCCGAATATTTTGCTAATATTGCAGTTTCACGCTCAACCCAATGAGGCCAAGGTGGCCGACTTTACCGAGCTACGGTGTTCTGCCGTATTCTGTTTAAAGAGAAGAGTCTGTCACCTGTAAAACCGTCCAAACAAAGCCGTGCCGGTTCAGCCTTTATCCCACTGCGCTTTAGCATTTCACATGCCAACCGAGGCATGGGTGAGTCTGAGACGTTGCTCATTGGGTGTTTTGCATTTTCTCGCAGCGATGCTCGGTCTGACCTTGGTTTGAATGTTCAGGGACCTCCGCTCCTGGGATGATTGGCAGCTGTCTCGGCTGTTCTCAACTTGCAAAATACAGCTTCTCCCTGTGGAATAATGAACTCCACATTGTTTTGAAACAACCTTAAAGCTCCGTCCAGATTGATGGGCTGCAACGTTTGCTTTCCGAAGATAACTGCTAATGTCTTTCCTCCTTGACACCACACACATACATGCAGCAGACCAAAAAACTGCAGATACTTCAGCGTTATTGTGTTTGTGTCCGAAGTCAACGTTTTACAGGGAATACACTTCTCACCCTCGTAACTCCTCTTGAAGCGGTGAGGGCTTATTTAACGAGTTTTCCCACAGGCCTCTCTCTGCATTTAGGTTTGCGCTTTGTTAGATAAATCGTTATTAGAAAAATTAGATTTCCGAAGATACTTGACATAATTAGTTTGATACATTTTTCTAATCTCGAAAAGTATTGTATTTCTACTCCGGTGTGTTGTGGCCTGTGGCTTGGTAACAAGGAACAGAGAATCCAGTTACGGGCCCACTGCATTTTTAATGCAGCTGAGAGACGAACACAATCCTCGACCACAGTACAGATGGGGAGAGAGGGGGAGAGCAGGGTGTCTAATTTAGAGTCACCTTCTGTAGCCCTGTTTGCTTCAGGGTGAATTTACTCATTTTTGAGCCACGCTGACATTTTGCTCAGCCTTTCCCACTCTTTCTCCCCCCCCCCGCCTTTTTCTTTTCCCCGACTGCCCCACGCTTTAACTCTGGAATATTATTACACTCTCAGCTGGAGCTGTGCGGCGGCTTGACGCCCATCTCAGAGAGGAGCACAAGGGCCTCGTGCGATGACACCGAAAGCCACACTCAGGTCAGCCTGCTAGCCGAGGCAGCCGAGGCTAGCTTCAGCACGACTTGGAACTCAGAGGAAAGCAGCGTCACCCAGCCGAGCTACACGGTACGTCATTCCAAACTAAACAGACGAAGGGAAATTCAGCTTTGTGGAGAGTGACTTGTTTTCTGTTGTGGTTTAGGTTCATGTGAGAATGAATAATTTCTGGCTCATGAATGGCTCTGAAGATAAAACACGACAATAAACACGAAAACAAACTAATATTGCCATATTATATCTAATCATATCTATTTTAAAGCACCAACTGTTCCATGGATCCATGCACCAAGACATTTGTAGAAAATGAAAACTGTCACAACTGAGTTTGAGTGAAAGCAACTGGACTCCGACAGGCCTCTTCATTTCTAAACTACATGGAGGGGAGTTTCCGTTTTTAAGGAGAGAGGGTCTTTACAGAAGGAGAAGTCCAGTTGCCTTTATTCATTCTCAGGATTATTATGGCCTGGATGACTGAGAATCTACATCACCATGTTAGAAAAAGTCCCATTAAGGTTCCTGAACGCATTCAGAATGATGGATATTTCCATCATATATCAGCATTTGCTTAATGATTTAAACTCGGGGGGTGGGTGGCGGTGGGGGGGTCTCTGTAGAAACAGCTTCAGTAACAGTGCAGCGCTCAGAATTGCACAGTCTATCACAGAGAAAGAGCTCCTCGTCGTCATCAGGCACGCCTGAGATTCTACGGGAGGCCATTTTAGCTTCTCTAAAGAAGATTACCATGTCAGCGCCTGTTCTCTTTGTTCGCTTTCTTTAGTGGGCAGTTAAGAGCCGGTTGTATCAGTATCACAGGGTCAGGTATAGAGAAAGTGCTCGGTGTCAAAGGCTTAAATTGCGGCCTCGTCTGAGTCAGCTTTTTGCCATTTGCCTTTCCTTAATTGCCATGAATTTTCTATTTCAATATGCATAAAGAACTGTTGTCTGGCCAGAGGAAAAAACTTTTTTCCCTCATGTAAGCTCACTGTAAAAGTTCAAAGAGCCCGTCATTGGCCTTTTTCTTCACTGAGTGCCCGAGGGTATATTAGAAGTCTCCTTTTCTCCATGTTTTACGTTTTAGAATTTCTCCAAAGGCCTTCGCCTTAGTAGTGTTTCTCAAGCTAAAAGGAGGGCCCTCCTTGAGAGGCGTAGAGCCACTGCAGGGGGAGATGACCAGGAGAATAATATGGAGAGACCTTTTTTTGGATTCTGAAGGGGGACATCTCAGAAAAAAAGGTTTGAAACAAATATCCTATAAAGTTAATAGTTATCTGACATAGCTTTTTTTTCGTTACATTCCTTAATTTATTGGACACAACATAAATCCCTTTTGTTTGTTGTCACCACTATTTATTGGTGTTATGGTGGCTACACCCACCTCTATTGTGCAAACTGTCATCAGCAATGGCATCACACTGTATATTTCCAACAGATAATCACGGTAGCGCTGCAGATTAATCCTGCTAAGCAGTAGTTCAGTGATGAGCAGTATTGAAGTTCACAGATCCTGAATTTTATGTAATTTGTTTGATGACCCACAGATCATTCCACCAGCACCACCAGCAGGTTGATTTGAAAAAAAAAAAACATGACAATAGCCTCAGCCGCTCTCTTGGTCCTCTCCAACTACCAAATGCTTTAACGCTGCTCATTGGCAGTTGTTGTTTGTTAGCTTTCCACTAATGTGTCATTGTTGACATCCAATTGAATATCTTCAAAAGTTCTGGTGCCGTATGAAATTGCTATATTGGATATTTAATCTTTATTTTTGCCTTAAAATAGCAACAATGCAAATCAAACATCATACATAAGGTGAAAGTACATTTCTTCACAGCTGCTTTCTTTTACCTAATGCTCGTTCCACTATTGAAAACATTTTCCTGTTCACCACTCGGTAGGACCACCAAATCTTTTAACACAAGTTTGGGGATTAAGGAAAGCAATTGCCACAGTTTGGAACGGATTCTACTTCTTTTATTTTTATTGTTTTGTTGCTTCTCAGTATGCCAAATGTTTTCAGTGTGTGACTGATCTGTGCAATGAGTAAACCATTTAAGCGCCCATTCTCTCACACTTCGATCAATAGCATAGTCATCCCTTCTGAACGGGTTTTGACATCTGTCATCATAATGGTTGCGCATTAACCTTTCTAACCTTTATTTATATATAAATCCACACATTTTGAAATATGTTCTGATAGGAAATTGGATGGTCTCTCTCCTCTTAATGCAGTGTCCATACTTGAAATAATTGTATATTCAATTCATCAATCTGCAAAATCGTGTTCTTCTTTACCTGAGCACAGGTTTTGCTTCCACTTGTGGATGCAGAGTGCCAGAATATCATGATTATTAAGTACTGGTTTTCACCTTTGCCGCTTTTCGAGATATTTCTTAGTCCCTTTTTAATGAGTTATATTAGAATTGCTTAACTCTTGTCCACTCACACACACACACTTCAGCTGTTATACATACAATTCCGCTCAGTTTTAGCCAAAAAAGATCGCACACATTTAGAGTGGAGAAACAAATGTTCTCTGTTTGAAAAAGTTTGTGCACATTTACACATTAACCCTGTTTTTTCTTGCAATCAGAGTTGTTATTGATTGGTTGGCGTACAGCACCACTCAGATGGTCCTGGTACTCCGGTTGGCAGTCACCTGGAAACCGGACTTTTTTTCGTGCATTTGTCCATCAGGCTCTCACTCTTTGGCGTGCTGTTCTCTCTCCCTCAGGAGGAGCAGCTGCTTTGCCGGTTTGGCATCATGGAAGATGACCACAGCCAGCAAGCCCCACCCTTGCCCCCCCGCACAAGTTTTGAGAGGACAATCACTGTAGTCCGGGGCAGCCGTAGCCTTGGTATGTTGTCCGTCTTTCTCATGATGATGGTGTCTTGGTGTGTGTACATCGCAGGCACGGCGGTAATGACACTAATAGGATGTGATGATGACGACTGCCCGGAAGAGGAGTGGTAACGTAATGTATTCCTCTTGCCTCAGAGAAGAGATAATAACGACACGTATGTTTGTGTGCGTGTGTGTGTGTATGTGCAGGTGTATGTGTGTGAGAAATGGATAAGGGGTTGAAAGAATATTTAAAGTCTTTTGAAAGAATGTCTCAGTCAGATTAAAACCCATGGTTATATTGTACAGTGCATTAAGTTGTATTTCCATCTAAGTTATATTTTTATACCCAGTTGATGAGAATACAATGCAAAAGTTTGGCTGTTCGAACCTAGCAGGAAAACAGCGGGGGTGCAAGGTAATCCTGCACTTTTATCTGAAGGCACTGTGAAAAGCATAAGGAAACAAACTCATTTGTATTCTGGAAACACGCTCAGATAAAGCACCTCACTATGCGTATGTGCATCTGTCTGTGCCAGAGACAGAAAGAGAGTTTGAAATTATGTAAATTTCTGTGGTAGAGAAAATCAAGGTCACAATATCTCTGCATTCTTTGGTACTCGCTTGTTTAAAACTGTTTAGGTCCTCTTGCTGAAATAGGAAATGAAGCACGGTCTTCTGGAAATTGACATGTTGGGCTTTTGCAGATTAGGATTTCTTTTCTTTTTATTTTCATGTCTGAGTTTGAAGATATGTGTTCTGATGGTTTTGCCATTGTATGGGCACCCCTTACAAAATGACAGTATGAAATGGCTTCATAAGTTTATTCATTACGCTCCATAACAGTGAAGAGAAGTACTGGGGCCTAAAGCAAAACGTTTGTTGTGGAATCTTACTAACACTATAAAGGCCTTTTTGTTTTTGACAGCAAATTGTCTTTTAGCTCTTGTTTGGATTGTTTTTACTCATTCTTCCTTCAAAAGGCTTCTGGTTCTGTAATGTAAAGTAATGCTCTTTCCAGTTTCCATGGCAGAACTCTGTATTGAGTTATTAGGAGAACATATTGTCTGATCATGTTTAGCTTTTAGAGCGGTGGTTCCGTAATCTTGTGTTTTATTCAGTTATTCGTCCCTCTGCCATGTAAATTTGTTCTACTGACATGATCAACAATCTATTTGTAAAATTTAGTCTGTTTCACATTGTTCACCCTTGATCTTAAAGTCTGACACAAGGAGCTCAAATGTTTGCATGATGCAATTTGCCATCGCAAAAAAGTTTGAAGTTGAGGAGAATGTCATCTTAACCTCATGCCCACCTTGTAAACCTAATACAGTAACAATAGTTTGGACTATTTGGCAGGTCAACTTCATCAGAGAACTCTCCTGTCTGTAGTACCGTATTTGTTTCTGCTAGTTCCAGTTATTATTAGGCTCCATGTTTAATAGGCTTCCATCATTACTATGATTTTATGGCCTCGTTTTGGCAAATAAAGTTAATTGTTGGTTTGTTCTAGAGAATTGGGACAGCTTTTAGAGAAGGCTTTAAAAGAACAAGTATTTCAAATGTGGTATTTTATTTCTCACCTAGTTTATCTTAGATATCACGAGAGGAAAAGATCTATTCTTGAATTGTGTGAACTAGCTCTTGTGAATCTGTTGTGCATAGTCGTGTTTGGAACTATCTAGAAAAAGTACATTTTCATAAAGAAATGGGAATTTTTCATCGGTTATACTTAACTGTGTGAGAACGTCAACACAAGTGGACACTGAAACGTTCAGCGTGACATCTATGGCATGTACCTTGAAATGTGTCTGTTTGTCCTGTACGCTGCAGTGGTTGTGTCTCCAGCTGATTGTACTCCAAGCACTATGACTGTATTGTAATTTGAATGTGAAAAGAAGAACAAAAAAAAAAAACAATAAACTATTCATTTGATCCAAAGAATTAGCACAAAGTCATTTTTTTGACCATCTTCAAATTCATATACGACCATAGTGTTGTGGATGTGAAACAATACTAGATAGTAAAAGCCGTCTGCCGACGTCTTAGATCAGACTGCCCACTATGTGACAGCCTTCCCTTTCTGCGGTGTGTGCGTAAGGGGTGCAAACAAGGGCACGGATGTCTGACTTACCTACTTCTGCCTGTTTGCATTAATGAAGTGTCGTAATCCACCTAGTGTCCAAATTGATCATGCCAAAGTCGGGTGTTTGTGCGACTGGCATGTGTTAGCCCTCCAGTCACCTGTGTCCTCTGTGGGTGTGAGCGCGTGTCCCCGTCCACACGTACTTTGTGTGAGTGTACGTGCGGAGGTCGATGGCGTGCAAGTGTCGAGCGTGTGTGGCCCTGGCAGTTTGCTAATCTGCCTTGTGTCTGTCTCGATTATGGTGATTATTGCCACTGTCAGGTGTTCGTTTGGGCGACTGTCTGTCTGTCTGGCGTACAGACAAAGTGGTCCTAGCCAACCCTTTATTCACCTGTGCTTGTGTGTGTGTGTGTTTGTGTGTGTGTGTGTGTGTTTCGTGTGCGTGGTTGTGCACATGTTGGCAGGCATGTCGGTGAGCGCGATCAAGGACGGCTCAGGCATACTGGTGCGCAGTGTGGTCCAGGGGGGCTCTGTTTGCCATGATGGCAGGCTAGGTGTGGGGGATGCCATCTTGGCCATCAATGGAGAGCCTACCTCCAACCTGACCAGTGCCCAGGCCAGAGCCATGCTCCGCCGACACTCTGTTACAGGGCCAGAAATAAGGTGAGATGATAGAATTAAAACACGGGAAAAGTGCTACAAGCAATATTTTTCTGCTGACGTTAAACATTGAAATCATTGGAAAGACATATTCCCTACATTAGCACTCAAAATGTATAATTGGTTGGTGGTTATTATCTAACCACATGTACATTCTGTCCGGGCCTTTATTGTTCCCTTCAGAATTTTAAATCTCAGTCTGTGAATGATATTGTTCTTGTTCTTGTACACTCTCGCTGTTTTAATTAGTGAAGTATTGAGCTATGAGCACATAAATAAGTATAAGCCCATATAAAAGAGACCCTTACTTAGGAAAATCCATTGCCATTTTAAGAAATTGTTGGAAGTTATGTGTTTTGGGCACATTTTTAAAGCACATACCTACAAATAGGGTTACTGTGACTATGCTAGTGACTATACACTGATGTACCCTCTACTTTAGCTATATAGCCAAGATGGGGACCACTGTGGCTTAGACATAGGGAGTATTCCACTTCTAACACCACACCACTCTGAATTCTTCCGGGGTTTAAAGCATGCATTCTTTTAGTAGCTGAAAAGTACACTATTTAGCTTTGATTTTAGGACAGAACTCATGTGTCAAAGCAAAATAACTTCGTATCAGAACATAGTCTGATTCTTTTATCAAGGGAAGCAGCAGCTTCATTGATACTGTGGGTTGTTTCTCTGCTTGGATATTCAAAAAACAGCCTGTGGTTGTTTTTCTTTGAGCACGTTCATTGCAAAACACAAATGTCCAACAACACAAGAATACTGCCCCACTGGTGCCAGGCCAGAGGACATACGCACGCCTCCTTTAAACGCACTCAAAAGACTAATTGCGCATTGAAAACACACAGGCTAACACATCAAGCCATGTTGATTTGGTCGGCGTGTGGTTGTGTCCCGAAGCTCGGCCCGTTACTATATTTAAAGGGAGTGGGGTTGATGAGAAAATGCCTCGCAGCGTGCTTATCAGTCTCACTGGGCACTGCTCACTAAAGCACTTTGTTCTGCATGTAAGATTAGCATGTACAAAAGTTTGCTTCAAGTTAAGCAAATATGGATTTTCTCCAAATTAACCAGTCCGGAGAGTCCTAACTCTCTGGCGCGTTGCCACTCCTGATTGTTTATTGGACATTGTGAGGTCGCCATTGAGTAGCTCTCATGCACTATGCAGTGCCCTCAAAAGACCCCAAATTTGCAATGTGAAAAGTCAATGGTCACTTAGCCAGAAAACAAAAGCCTGAAGGCATTGCAATAAAATTAAAAAGGCAGCCACTTAAGTTGCTCCATAGCAGCAACAGAACCAATAATAACTCTCTGTTAACAAGATTGTGATCTTTTAAGCATATTGCTACAGTATATTTACGTGTATAAGGTGACGTTTGTGTATTTGTTTTTTCTTTTCATTTTAGGCATAAGAGGTCTGACTTGCTGATGTGTTAAATTTGATAAGTTTCTTTTTGAAAGGGCAGACTTAAAAAAGGCGCAGGGGGGGGGGGAATAAGAAGTAATAAATAACTCTTGCTGGGATTCTTGCGAACTCAAGAAAAATTCAAATAAACAGATTGGTCCATTAACAGGACAGACTGAAAGCACTGACTAGATGAACATGTTGATGAGCAAACCACAGACATGAAGAAAACGTGCATAGTGACGAAAAGGCTGATGAGAGAAAGGAGGGAGCAATCAGCACGATCCCAGGGTAGGCCAGCAAAGGAAATTAAACCAGATAATACACAGGCAAGGGGAAAAGGGAAGGACTCTTTCAAAGATGAAACATGAATCGACAAATCCCACTAGAAAAGGAGGTGACAAAACAAAACAAAGACTTAACATGTCACAGAAATGCTCAAAGAGCAATGGGGGGGGGGCAACAACATTTAGCATCTGAAATCACAGACTGTGACGTATTCATTTGAGCAGAGCAGAGAAGCACATCAAAAATAGTTCAAGGTTTTAAGTGTTTTTTTATGCGGGGGAAACAAAGCTGAAAATGCAGGGATTTGATACATAAGCTAAATGCACGTTTTTTTATTGACTTGTTGCCATAAATCAGTAAATTATGTCCTGGTATAGAAAAAAATAAGCAGAGCAATGTCCTATAGTGTTGTTTCATCATGATGGTGCCTTCACTTATGAGAACTCTCTAATTAGGCTGAAGAAACTCATCGGAAAATGAATTCATAGCTTTAGATACTGTCTGTCTCTCTATTAAGAAGCCTATCCACATCAGAAAAATACAAGTGACTGATGAACAGACCTCTCTTTGAAACACATCACTGGGAAAATGGCGTGTGATATATTTTTTAAAAAGCATGTTTAATGTCCCTCAGCATGAGCGCAGTGTTCTGTAAATTGATTTTGAGTAAAGCCGAACTCTCTACTCAAAATAGGAACTGTTAAATACAGATGTAAACATTGTTAGACACAGTTCTTTCATGCCCGATAAACAGATTTGAAAGCAAGTCTTGTCTAAATCACATTTGTCACATAATAATTTAGGCATTTTTAGGCTGATGACTCACTATTTTCTCATTTTCTGACACAAAAAGTATTAAACAGGTGTATATTTCAAACACCTAACCTAAACCTCCAGTGCCAACCAAAAGTACCAGCCGAGTATGCTTTATTATTTTGGTCACTTCCGCCAGCAGACACTCCGGGGGTTTAAAGTAGGACATGAGTGGCATATTCAAAATAGATGCCAGTCACTCATTTAGCACAGCTATTTATACTCCCTTCACTTCTCCACTTTTTGTCCTGTCAGTTTAAACACATCTACACTGGGAAATCACAAGAGCTATTAGTTTGGTGAGAAGGTGGGGGAAAAAAAAAATCTTTTGGGAATATAGAAATCAATCAACTGCAGAGAGACTAATTGAATTCCGCTCACATTTCAAGACCTTTACAGTCTAGAATGAGCATAATAAGCGACATAGAGTCCAGGATAGACATAGATATGTGCTCTGTGCAGAGTCACCGGTATGACTTTCACTTAGTCACATACCAACAAATGGTCTCGTCTCATTTTCAACACAGTCATGTTCAGAATATATGATGAAATTTTGAGGGCGGCCTGAAGGGAAAGTGGGTAAAATCATTACATGTCATAACATCAGCACCTATGGCTCCACATTGAGACTGCTTGTTTGGCTGATTGGGGATGTGCTCCACCCACGCCACCCTTCCACCCTCCAAAACACCCCGTCAACTTTCTCTGAGCGGTTCTTTCTTTTCCTTTTAAAGGTGCACATTAACACACACCCCCACGCACAAGCACACACAAACTGTCTTTCAATGGTCTCACCTCCAAAAAAACACCTTAATCCTGCGAGGGGAAATATCTTTGAATAATTCATCACTCATCTCACCTTGAACAATGTACTTCTGAAAAATAAGTGTTTTTAAAGAGCCTCTCGCGGTTGCATCACACACACGCGCACACAGATGAACACATTCATGGATTTTTATTTTCCCCCCTTTTCCCTGGCACTTGTTAACACACATACACAAACACACGTTTACCATACACACATGCTGGCTCTGCCTCTCTCTGACAGCACTTAAGAGAACGTAAGACCAAGTGGCAACAGATGAGTTGCTCTGGCAGCTTCAGAATGGGACACGTCGAAGGATGAGGGCTTTGTCACGATCAAACTGCCTCTTCTGTGACGAGACAGGCTGCCCACATGGTTGAGTTACAGCACCTCACTGCAGAGGACCTCCATTTTCATATTCCAAAGCCTCCAACAATTCAAGAATTTTCGACAAGCCCAAGAATTGGGCTCTTTCAGCACAGTCACAAGTCTACTATACCAATAAAGAAATAAGAAGGTGGGAGTGGGCTTTAATAATGTCCAGCACCGCAAAAGAAAAATTGATCTTCCATGCTAAATGAAATATCAATGTTTTCACTTTTTCTGGTCAGAGAGGTGCACATCCATAAAACAGATGTTACCAAAAAATTTAATAAAAACTCATAGTATTTTCATGCAAAATCTCTAAGTAAATAAAGAGAACACAATTCAACAGGTCATGGATGCACTCTATGTGGTCCTTTTTTATTTTTTTTTATACAGTACTTCAAATCTGTGAGTGGAAAATTGATTTGAGCCCCTGCGGTCACCGTTTCATTTAGAGGGTGAAAGCCTTTTTTTTCCTTTTGACTTTCATTTGTGAGTGAGCACTGTTATAAAAATGTTTTGCAGATGGAACAAGACCAACCTTGAACATTTGTGCTTTCAAAATGGAAAGAACTCCCCTGTTTTGAGACTCGTGCTTTCACCGAAAGAGTCCACAGTAAAACATCGGTCCATTACTGGGTGATCAGTTTTCTGTCTGTAAACACATCACCAACGTGGCTTTGCATTTTTTAAGATTTAAAAAGAAAAAAAAAATGGGTTTGTGTCTGGCTCAGAATGCCACTTTTCCACTTATCTCGCATTTTTACCACTGAAATGCTCCTCCAGGTGTCATGGCAAACAAAGTAAAATCGCTTTCAATAGTCCAGAGCATGGCTGTGCACTTTGTGTCTCATCAAGAAAAAATGGGACACTTCAGCCCACTATGAATTGACCTTTACTGGCTAAGGACAACCCAAATTATTTTCAAATCACCATTAGTCTACAGAGTGACTCCAAGGTCTGCAAACAGTTTTTCAAACTCGTAGAGATTCTTTCTTCTCAAACTTGTTCTTCTCCTGAAGCATATCATTTTGCATAACCATAGCTGTTAACGAGGAAATGTCAGTACAAGCTGTTACGGTTTCTAGCTACCAAATGCTATCAGGGATAAGGTTTGGCGGTCTGCTCTTGGAAGAATCTACTTTCCGAAGACATCTGACACCCTCACACACCAAACCCACGCTCATTTTGCACCTCTTTTTCATTTCGGTTGCTGACAACCATTACACGTGTGTGAATTCCCAGTTCCGGCGCTCTCACGCAAGTTTTTTTTTTTTCTGTTTCTATTGTCGCACACCTGAACTCATCAGAATTGTGACAGACTGCTCTGAGCATTTTCGGAGTGGTGCTCCGTTTGAATAAAATTCCAAATTGAAATAGACTGAGTTTAAAATAAACAAAAAAGCCAGCACCGTGTAAAAAGAATCACCAGAAAAGTTTAGCCCCAGAATGTCAAACACAATTCACGGGAATCGAATTGTAAATTGTAATTAACAAACAGAATACTTAGTTTAATTACGTTTAACCCACAAACAGGTCTCCTACACCTTCAAATAAAAATCCTCTTGCTTTGTTCAGAGGGATCTTTCTTAGTACTCTGCATATACAAAAAGATTGACAAAGAAAAGTGGTTCATGTTTTTAATGCTTTCACCTCTCCCCACTTTCAGTGTAACCTATGTACCAGCATCTCAGGTGGACGCGCACCGGGCTCGTCTGGGTTTGCCCCCACTGGCCTCCGTCGCCTCCTCCTCACCCACGTTGCCACCTCTTTCTCCTGAGCCCGCGGCGGCCTCGGCCGCGCCCCGCGATCCCCCGGCCTCATCTTCACTCAGACCCTCCACTTCCCTGAGATTCAAGGCCCCCACCCCGGATCCGCCCGCCCCCAGGGCGGCTGCTCCGCTCAAGGCCGCGTTCAAAGGCCAGGCCACGGTCCCGACCATCTCCCCGGCCTCAGACTCAAGGTGATACAAAACGCAAAAGGTTTCCCCTTTGTTTTTAATGGTCACCTAAGACCGACTCTAGCCCCAGAGAGCAACGTGAGAGTTTGTTAGACGTCGAGCCTCAAGCTTTTTTTTTAACAAGCTGATGCGTTCAGACAGTGACAAAGACATACTCTGAGTTTAAAGAAGGCTTTTGAGGTTTTTTTCTTTCATTTCCCCTTTTAACAGTTCATTCGGTTACCCAGCAGCGAAATGATCAGAGTTATTATCTGTCACTTTAATTAACCGTATCCATGAGGAAACTTTGTGTCTCAGTGTGCAGCCAGCAGCGTGTGCGCTTCCTCCACTCCGTCTTTTCTCTTCTCCGTGGTTAAGTCAAAAGCCCTCTCCCAGCGTCGAATCTCTGGGTTATATTTAGCCGTTCGCTTATGGATCTCAGTGCTGACTGTCAGCGAAAATGAATTGTTTCGCTTCTGTCTGTCCCTGCTTTCTCTCCATCTTTATGTCTCTGCCTTTTCTCCTCCCTCCCTCTCTCCCCATCTCCCTCTGCAGCCTTTTTCATCTCTCTTATCTTTCAATCACGTCTCCATCTCTTTGTCTGCGTGTGCCTACATCTGTCTTTCATCTCACCCTCTGTCATCTCGCTCGGTTCTTTTGCTCTTCCCCTCATTTTGCTTCTCCTCCCTGCCTGGTTCCGTTCTCCCTCGCCACTCTCTTTCAGCCCTGGTAAGAACCATTTGTTCTGCCCTCTTCTGAACATTTACTGGCTACGCTCTCCCACTGTGCATATAGCACTGCTATTACTCACATCCTTGGGCTTATTACGGTCCTTCACCGTTAAACATATTCATGAAAAAGTCTTTCCTTCTCCACGCCTTTGCTTTTCCTACACTGACACATGGTGCATACACCCCAAACAGAGGTACCCAACGTATCCACATGCGCATGAGCCCGAGGAAACCAGCTAGCTGTGACCTAACTAGCGCCAAATGCGTATATTCTCGAGGTCCATCAGAAAAAGTTGCTCACATCGACTTTACTCGAGAACTTGAGACCCAATACCCATAAGATTAAATGCAAATGCTTTCATCCTGGATGTCTTGTTTTTTGTTTTTAACCACCAGCTGGCTGATTCCAAAACCTTTACCTCAGACGAATGCGCAAGAGGAAAAATTCATAGATCTTGTACCTGACAACAGGAACAAACTAAGGGCAGATGTAAAGGCACCCAAGCCGGAAGTCCAGATAAAGGTGTACAGTACAGACGAGAGAGACGGAGGGCTTCACGCTCAGGCTGCAGTGTCTTGGGATCAACCTAAACGGTAAGTGAACAAGCTACTTGCTTTACATCCTACAAGTTTTTTCCGTGCCTGTCTATCTTTTTTCTGTGTCTTTCTGAGCATTCACCAGCATTCATGGCTGACACTATCACTCTCGTCTTGGATAATAATCTGGCCCATGGGAAAAAGCAGATGCTGATTTATTCTGGCATTTTTTTAGTTAATTTGTGCCTTAAAAACTATTGAGAATTAAGAATTCTCAAGAGGGGGGGGGGATCAGCCATAGTTGAGGCAGCACAGATGATTTCAGACAAATCATTCAGAGACTTTAATCAAAACCTAATCATAACCAAATCATAACGGAGAGTCGTTAAAAATTTGTGCAGAAAGATTTCAGTCTGTTAAATTACTCAATCCCTTTTCTGGGCTTACATGGCCCAACTATTTGATATAAGTTAAATGGAAACTTCTTTTTGTCAGTTTTAAAGCAAAAACTAGGCAACACTATCCTGATACATCAGATCAATTTCAGCCAGTCAATGTTTTTCTGGCCTGAGTGGGGTCAGCAAACCTACAGGCTGGTGTTAATTAGCATTATACTTATATGTATCCTTGCATCCCAAGTGCATTAGAACTCGATTCTCTGGTTTAGCCGTTATCATTTCTGTGTTGCACCTTCGCCCAAATAATGCCCACGGCAAAGACAGAGCCACCAAGGAGACTTCCCATGACCAGGTTCAGAAAAAAGGGTTTATTTAATGCCTTTGTGACTGCATCTTTTGTGTGGCTCCCCGGTTGTTACTGCATTCCATTGTTTTTCTCCTTAATCTCCGAAACTCAATAAGCACTTCCGAGCAGTGAGAAAAATGGGAGACTGAAAGAAACTCTTACTCTTTGGATTACTATTCTGTTTTTGGCCTCAGAACTATTTTAATCATGCACTCATCGCTGTAGCTGCGTGTGTGTGTATGTGTGTGTCTGTGTGTGTCTGTATCAGGATCATCAAGCCCTCCGATATTTGCGAATATGTCCTACTGTGTGTTTTAGTGTGCTGCTGACTCGAGCGCCAGGCCAGTCCCTGGGCATCAGCATAATGGGAGGCAGAGGCATGGGCCGGAGACTGAGCAGTGGAGAGATGATGAGGGGTGTCTTCATTAAGCACATCAGTCCCGACAGCCCGGCAGCGCATAATGGCACCCTCAGGACTGGAGACCGGATACTAGAGGTGTGTGTGTTTGGACGCGGCGTGTGTAATGGTGTGTTGCAGACGCAAAGATGGAGACCCGTGTATTTGGAATGGAACGGAGGTAATTGTGCGTTTGTGTGTGTGTGTGTGTGTGTGGGTGATGAAATGTGGGATTGAAAACCTGCGTGTGTCGTGTGTGTATCTGCCTTAGAATGGGACGAGCGAATGTGTGCTGGAGCAGCAGTTTCGTTTTGGTTGTGGTGTCTGTTGAATTTCCAAAGTGAGGGACTGCTTATGAATGAATAAAATCATTGGGTGGGGAGGAAATTAGACCCCTTTGTGTGAGATTTGACTGTGGGTGTAAAGCTGCTGATCTCAGGAAGACCAGAAGAGAGCCTCCAAACTGGTTTAAGCTCGCAGAAGGGCTACTCAGATAACATTTTTCTCCATCTGGGATGAGCAGAGTGATATCAGAATGCACAACATGTGTAGAACCTTGAGGCAAATGAGCTATAACAGCAGAGGACCATGTCAGGTTCCACTTCCATCAGCCAAGGCATGGACAGAAGCCGAGGCTTCTGTGAGCACAGACTTACCAAAACTGGGCAGCTGAAGGCAGGAAAAAATCTAATTCTGTTTTGAAGCATTTTTTAAAATACATTACAGCCGAAAACACAAATAAAAGGCTCAGCTGTCCTCATTTTTTCACTTAGAATTTCTCTTCTGTCCATGGAAGGGCTGTGAAAAATAAAGGTCTGAAAAGGAAGATGGAATTTACTACTAAGTATTTTTAATTAAAAGGAAAAACTTGGCCTAAAGTTGTTTTTTCACCTTATCCTTGTGCGAGGGAAAAAAGTAACATGTAATTTTGAATTGTCTTGATCTCAATCGGCCACATTCATGGCCTTGTGCCGAGTGTTAAAATATGTTTCCTGTTGGCCAAGGTGAGTGGTGTGGACCTAACAGATGCCAGCCATGAGCAGGCAGTGGAGGCCATCCGCAGGGCTGGAGACACCGTGGTCTTCCTGGTCCAGTCCGCACAGCCCAGGTCTCAGGTACAGTGTTGGAAACACCCTAACAACCAAACATCAGCGTTGACAGCGATTCCTTTAGTATTTAACGGTTACAAAGAAAAAGCCAGCATGCACTCTTTCAATCATTTGGTTCTACATGTCACGAAAGAATGAAAAATCATCTGGTTGGGCTTTGGTGTTTAGCTGGATAGACCTCAGATGATCACCGCAATGTGAAAAATGTCACTATTTCATCATCTGAATTAAAAACTTTTAAAAACTATCCAAAATACAGAAGCAGTGTACGAATGAATACAGCTGGGATGTTTCATAAGAAACTAAGAGACTTGGGGAGATTCAAATGCGCTTAATTATTTATTCATAAGTAAGTAATCATAAGTTTAAGCGCCACGATAAAAGCAGAGGTTTCGACAGTTTGCTGGTCAGGAACGTCCAGTTAGCACAAAACCAGAGAGGAAATTCACCAGTAAATTGCTGTTGCCCACCAGTTTTCACATGAGGAAAACCATTCAAGATAGTTACTGGACTGTGCAACTTACAAAAATAATGAGCTTGAAAGGTCTCCGTTAGCATTGTAACAGCTCACATCAGTGAAGTTATAAAAAGACGTTGAACTGTTCAGATCGTAATTTGTAATTGGTATAGATAATAAATGGATGGAGAACCGCCCGGGATGTCAGCCTGCCTGCAACTGAGATGGGCCCCCTCACTTCCCTTACTCAGATAAAGCAAATCTCTAAACAAATGGATAGATGAAAAGGACAAAATTCACCTTCAGAAAACTGATAAAGGATATCTGCGACTGATAACGTGACCAGCGATTCATTTTTGTTTCAAAGCTGTGTGCTCTGCGTCTTGTGTTTTTCGCAGTCTCCTCCCATCATCAATCACGAAAGACTGAGTCCAGCGCCAGCCTCCAACTCACACAACCACAAGGTAATGTTTCTCTTTTTAAAGCTTGGGTTTTTACCGAGTTTACTCGAGCCTTGAGATAATGATTCCTTTCCACTGTCATTGTCAAGTGCCTTGACGTGTGGCTGCATATGACTGTATGGAGACTATATGTGCATGCTGCATTGTATAGAGTGATGAGTCATAAACACCCACACAGTAATCCAAAAAAGGCTGGGGGGGGGGGTTGATTTCTGTTTTGGAAGCAACGTGTGCAGAACTATATCTGTGTTTCCCCACATGATTTTAGGAACCAGAGACTCTCAGCAGTCTTTTCCTTAGTCTGTCCCCAGCAAACCCCTTCACTCCCACGCCCTTTAAGGTTGGTATGTTGTTGTGTGTTGCCTTGGGTATGCGGCATCTCAAAAGCAGGCCTGTATTTGCACTCCG